AGAAACAACTGTAGAAAATAAGATAATTTCTTTACGTAGTTTTGACGTTACTTTTCCAAACATACGAATGAATTGTCTCATAACCGTATTTTATTGTGAAAGGAATGGATTGATATACAGCTAAAGAAAAACAATTGTGTCAGTTAGGGAGCCACAGAGCTGAAGCAGCCTACTGTCTGAGAAAGGTAACCGTTTATCAGTTTGTTGTTTTCAGAAGAACTTTAGTACTTTGTTTTAATAAAATACTAATAATGATGTTATTCCATCTTATGCAAATTGGAGGTTGTTTTATTGTCCAGCAACACTTCAGTAAGTGAAAAAGAAGATTTGAACACATTTATTGCTCTTTTTTTTTTTTACTTGTTTCAGTGACGAGGTGCACGATGCCCGGTCCAGTCGTGACTCCAGACTCATCCCAGGATAAATCCAGCCGTCAGCATGTGGTGTTCTGGTTCAACAGGCTCCTGGAGACACACTTCAAAGATGTGCAGGAGATGGCTTCAGGTGACTCCTCACTGCAGGAGGACCAGTTATTTCATGCTCCTTGCAGCTCCTACACGTCTCTCTACACTTGTTTAATTTCCACATGCCTGGTGGCACCAGTTTTAGCTGCACCACTCAAGCAGCCACTAAGTCAGGATTATATGATAGAACCGTGTTTTATTTACAATAGTGAAATTATCGACTTTGTGGAGTCTTACCAACTTCAGGCCCAAACAACAAACAAAACAAACCGCTGTATTTTCTCCTACCTGAAGACAAATAAAATGAACCAAACCACAAGTCTCTTACCTCTCTATGCTAATGGAAGACAGGAGAAAAGTCAAAATAAAGTGTCAGCTCACCTCCACAAACTCTTCTCAAAACTTTTTACAACTACAGGATCTAAAGTTGATGACAGGTCAGCTGCAGCAGGTTGGTAATGGAAGCAGACATCATCCTCCTGCAGCTCTTCTATGCAGCATCTCAACAGAGTACCTGCACAATAATTCACACAAATGTTTTTGTCTTACACATTGTTTTTTTTTAATATAATTCACACACAATTAACAGTTTCACACATTCACACACAAAGCATGACTTACTGCGATTCCTGATGCAGTGAAGAAAAATGACATCTGGTCAGTCTTCCTCTTTCATTTTATCCTGGATTCTTGTCAGCAGACCGACATGTTTTCCAGTTAAATTTGGTGATCCGTCCGTTGTGACATTGTCCACTTTACTCCACAGCAGCTTCATTCTCTCATGACAGCAGACGGTTATAAAAATCCTCTCCCCGTGTTTTTCCTTTCAGAGACTCCAGGATCAAAAACACCTCCATTATCTCAAAACTGTTGTTAATCCCACAGATAAAAATAGGAGGTGAGCAGTGTCCTTTATTACTTTCATCCAGTGCTAACAAACCGTAACTTAAAGGACTCTCTGCCTTTTAGCTTATGTTGCTGGCTAAATCTTCATCACTCAGTTCCACAAGGCGAGTCACAGTCCTGCGTGATGAACTCATTTTTTCTAATTTATCTTGGCCCTCCGGACACAATAGAGCTGCTCAGTTTACCCATGTTTCTTTTAAAAAATCGCCTTTGGAGAAAGACTTGCTAGCATAGTTAGCAGTTAGCAATGTGTATTCTTTGAAAACCGCAACAGTTTCTTGGCATATAAACTGTCTTTGATTGGACCTCAGTGAAACAATATGTTGTTGTCCACCCCATTTTAAACACTCTGCACTCACTGTACACTTTTTTTTTTGATAAACACGTTTTAACAGACGAGTTCGTAGGGCAAAGTAAAAATAAAAGCGTAGAAGAAGAAATTACTTCTTTTCCACTGTTAATTTGCCTGTAATACACGCCAGTGTCTGTAGTGCACCTCTACTGGAGAAATGCTGGAACTACAGGTAAAACCACCATTTTTTTTTTTTCCTATTAAATTCAGGTTTTTTTAGATATAATTTGAACAAGTGGCGATTTTAACCTGTTTTTTTTTTTTTGGGGGGGGGGTGCTTAAGCACCCCTAAATTTTACCTCAGCACCCCTGAAAAATAAAGTATAATAATAATTTTTTTTTTTTTTTAATTGTCCAAATTTTGAACAATTTTGGCGGGCCAATTAAAAAGCCCAACGGGCCGGGGTTTGCCCATGCCTGCTTTAGCAGAACCAGGCTCAGGACAAGCAATACAATACAATACAATACAATACAATATAGAGTATTGGTCCAAGCACTGAACCTGAGGAACTCCATGACTAACTTTGGTGTAAGAAGAAGATTCATTATTTATATTTACAAACTGGAATCGATCAGATAAATATGATTTAAACCATTTTAGAGTAATTCCTGTAATCCCAATCTACATTAGTGAAAACACCTGGTGCCACACTAATGAGCTAATTAACTCAAAACACCTGTAAAGACCTTTAAATGGTCTCAGTCTAGTTCTGTAGCTACACAATCATGGGGAGGACTGCTGACTTAACAGTTGTCCAAAGGACGACCATTGACACCTTGCACAAGGAGGACAAGACACAAAAGGTCATTTCTAAAGAGGCTGGCTGTTCACAGAGCTCTGTGTCCAAGCACATTAATAGTGAGGTGAAGGGAAGGAAAAGATGTGGTATAAAAAAAGTGTACAAGCAATAGGCATAACCGCACCCTGGAGAGGATTGTGAAACATAACCCATTCTAAAATGTGGGAGAGATTCAGAAAGAGTGAACTGCAGCTAGAGTCAGTGCTTCAAGAACCACCATGCACAGACGTATGCAAGACATGAGGTTCAGCTGTCACGTTCCTTGTGTGAAGCCACTCTTGAACAAGAGACAGCATCAGAAGCGTCTCGCCTGGGACTGCTGCTGAGTGGTCCAAAGTTATGTTCTCTGATGAAAGTACATTTTGCATTTCCTTTGGAAATCAAGGTCCCAGAGTCTGGAGGAAGAGATGAGAGGCACAGAATCCATATTGCTTCAGGTCCAGTGTCAAGTTTCCACAGTCAGTGATGGTTTGGAGTGAGATGTCATCTGCTGGTGTTGGTCCACTGTGTTTTCTGAGGTCCAAGGTCAACGCAGCGTCTACCAGGAAGTTTAAGAGCACTTCATGCTTCCTGCTACTGACCAACTTTATGGAGATGCAGATTTAATTTTCCAACAGGACTTTGCACCTGCACACAGTGCCAAAGTTACCAGTACCTGGTTTAAGGATCATGGTATCCCTGTTCTTAATTGGCCAGTAAACTGACCTGACCTTAACCCCATAGAAAATCTATGAAGTATTGTGAAGAGGAAGATATGATACGGAAGAGCTGGCCCAAGTGGCTGGGGAGAGGGAAGTCTGGGCCTCCCTACTTAGGCTGCTACCCCCGCGACCCGACCCCGGATAAGCGGAAGAAAATGGATGGATGGATGAACATTTGAAATATATCAGTCTGTGTGTATTGAATTAGTAAAATAAACAAGTTTAACATTTTGAATGGGATTACTGAAATCAACTTTTTCATGATATTCTAATTTTATGACCAGCACCTGTAGGTCTCCAGTTATAAAGCTGTGTTCATCCACTATTCATTAGGATCTGTGCCCAGCTCCAGCAAGATGTGCAGCTTTCTTGTTGTAGTACAAGATTCAGCCACCGGGTGGCGTTTCATAGACTACAGCTTGCTTTCAACACACCTTCAGGCTGCATGATCGTTGTAAGTCTTCATGATGCTTTGCTGTCTGACTCATGGTTAAAACCATTAAACCTACAAAATGAACACAAGAAGTATTGAAGCATAATCACTGGACAGAACAGTGCCAAACAATTACTTAACCAACATTATTTAAAAATTATATACTGGTAAATATTACCCACAAGTCTTAGCGAGGTCATGTGACCGGGAGTCACATATAGTACTGGTAAAATACAGTGGAGCCCACATGACCCTGAGGAGGGGAATTGCTGGTAAATGTTTTTTTTCTTCTGAAAAATGCCTTTAATACCGCAAAAAAAAAAAAAGTACTGGTAGTCCACCAAAAATTGCTCATCGCTCTGTTCTTTGTCCTGTGAACTAAAGTCCTCTTCGAGGCTCAGAAAAATGTGATCACACAATGCCTCGGCTCGCTCTCAGCTGATGAGAGCTCGCTTTTAGCCGTTTCCTTCTTCGACAGCCAGGTCGATCGCTTTTAACTTGAAAGCCGCATCATAAGAAATTTTGTGCATTTTCTATTGTTGCTGCAAATGAACGGTAACGTTCTGAAGAAATTAATGCACGTCTGTCTTGGGGGATGGGTCCTCGAGAGTGCCTCATTGTCATAAGGTTAGACTTCTGGTCACATGATGACAGAGTGGGTGGAGTTATAATAGGAAATTTGAAACCCTGAGCGAGAGGTTTGGTACATGTGATTACCCGAGGCATTCACTGTGTCACAACAGCCTGCCCCCAAGATGGGTGAGCACTGGGCAGCTATAAAAGCGCCCAGTTCTGTCAAAGGAAAATGTTATTCAGCTGTAGGAAGTTGCTGAGAGACAGCAGGAAGTCTCACAATAAAATATAAATTATGAAAATTATGATAAAATACACAATTTAGTAACTCCTGCATATAATCTGTGGGGTTCAATGTGTGAGAAAAAAGTAGTGGCTTGTACTCCAGCAGTTACGATAGTCTGGATTGGGATCCAGTAGACATGTGGATGGTTTAGATGAAGCTATTAATTTTGAAAATTCAGAGCTCAACAGGACAAAAACAGTCCAAACATAAATCAGGTTCTAGTGACATTTTTAAAGTTGTCTCATCTGACACGGAACCAGAGGCAATAGTAGGAAGGTTGTTTTGATTATTTTTTTTTTTCCTAGAATAATAATAGATCATTTTGTTATTACTGTGGTTAAAACTGCTTTATTCAACAAGCAACAGTTTTTTCTTCATTTTAACATTAATAACATTTTTTTTACTTTTTGATTGTGTGTTTCTGATCCAACAGGTGCCTGTCACTGTCAGATCATGGACTGCATGTTTCCTGGATCTGTTGACCTGACCAAAGTCAAGTTTGATGCTCAGAGCGAGGACGACTGTAAGCACAACTTCAGCCTTCTGCAAGACGCCTTCACCAAGAAGAGTATTACAAAGGTACATGCTTTCGCCACAATGTTTGGATTGTTGAAGTAGTTGTAAAGAAAAATACAGAGTTAAATGTATATAATACACTGCCTGGCCAAAAAAAAAAGTTGCCACCTGGATTTAACTAAGCAAATATGTACGAGCCTCCTATTGGATAATTACTGCCTGGGTGATTATCTTTCAGCTGCAACAAGTTATTTAACCCCAACTGGTGCAATGAGTTGCTTCTCATTTCTTAAACAACCATGTTGAAAGGCACATCGCGTGGTCGTGGAAAAGATGTCAGTCTGTTTGAGAAGGGTCAAATCATTGGCATCAAGCAGAGAAAACATCTAAGGAGATTGTAGAAACTACTAATATTGGGTTAAGAACTGTCCAACGCATTATTAAAAATTGGAAAGATAGTGGGGACCCATCGTCATCCAGGAAGAAATGTGGCCGGAAAATAATCCTGAATGATCGTGATCAGCGATCACTTAAATGTTTGGTGAAATCAAATAGAAGAAAAACAGCAGTAGCACTCAGGGCTGTGGTTAATAGTGAAAGTAAGATCATTTCCACACACACAATGTGAAGGAACTCAAGGGACTGGGACTGAACAGCTGTGTAGCCTTAAGAAAACCAGTAATCAGTGAAGCTAACTGGAGAAAAAAAAGGCTCAATTTGCTAGAGAGCATAAAGATTGGACTCTGGAGCAATAGAAGAAGGTCATGTGATCTGATGAGTCCAGATTTACCCTGTTCCAGAGTGACGGGTGCATGAGGGTAAGAAGAGAGGCAGGTGAAGTGATGCACCCATCATGTCTAGTGTCTAGTCATCAATGCAAGATCTTGGTGAAACATTAATGCAGTAATAGATGGAAATAGATCTTGTGACATTGCAGAAGCTTATTGAAACAATGCCACAGAGAATGCATGATGTAATCAAAGATAAAGGAGGTCCGATGAAATATTAGTGTGAACTTTTTTTTTTGTGGCGACTTTGATGTAAAAAGAAGATTCATTATTTACACTTACAAACTGGGATCTAATATGATTTAAACCATTTCCTGTAATCTCAATATCATATTCTAGTCTCTGTAGTAAAATATTGTGATCAACTTTATCAAATGTAGTACTGAGGTCTAACAGGACCAGTATAGACACCTGTCCATTGTCAAAGGCCACGAGAATATTATTATGGTAGTAACTTTCACCAGTGCAGATTCAGTGCTATGGAAGGTCTAAACCCTGACTGAAACTCTTCAAACAGATTATTTCTGTTCAGACATTCACATAACTGATCTGCAGCTATTTTCTCCAGAAATTTTGAGATGTTAAAAATGTTGTTGCTCATATCCCTAAATGTTGCTGCGTTGTCTTTATTCTCACACAGGCCATTCCAGTTGACGATCTTATAAAAAGGGATTCTAAAAGCAACTACGATTTCTTAAAATGGCTCAAAGTTCTCCATGCAGCAAATGAACACGATGAAGAGTACGACCCGGTGAAGGCTCGGAACGGCCAGAAGATCAGTCCACTTTTGGTGTCTCGTCAGTTACGTGAGTGTGTCGTAACTTTCTTCATTTTTCATAATAACTTAGAAAAGTCTTCATTTTGTTTAATTTTTTTATTTGCTCTTTGTCAGGGAGCTCTAAAGTGGAACCAGAAAACTGTGAATTGGAATCAAAGACAAGAAGTAACGACGATGTAACAGCCTCTAAGACATTTCCGTACTCTGAAAAGTGGAAGAAAGATTTTAATTGGGCCGGTCCCAGTCCTCTCGGAGAGCAGTACACGTTCTGCTCCTTTTGCCACGCCAATCTTTGCACATTTCAGACGGGTTGTAATGAGCTGAAGCAACATGAAAATACAAACAAACATAATAAAAACGCCGACATTTTGCTGAGCCAGGACCAACTTAACGAGCCACTGCCTTGTAGTGACGCAGCGGTCCAGTTCATTCACAGTCACTGCTACAGTGGAACAGCTGGAGGGGAGCAGGCAGCCGAGCATTTAGCTCGCTGTAAGCTGGGGTGGCAGTACCCCCAAAATATTAGATCTGTTTGCCAACACACTCCTTACTGTGTTTACATCTACAAAGGAGTGCCGATGGGAAAGAACGACATGGTCTCTGTGGTTCTTGTAGGATATTTTGATATAGAAGCTTCTAGTCACTGCATCCAGTTTCTGGATGCTCTTCAGTCAGACGGTCCAGGAGAACAGACAGACGCAGTAGTGGTGCAGACCTTAAAGAAGTTTGATCTTCCCACAGATAATCTGGCTGTTTATTTCAGCAGCAATGGTGCAGCCTCAGAGCAGACGTGCTCACATCTCAGGGAGCTCAACCAAAACGTTCTAGCCTTAGGAGGCCTCTACACCGTCGCTGATGCGGCTTGTCTCGCCGGGGTCAAGGAGCTCTCCAGTCAGACACAAGATTTCATGGCAGAACTTCATGCCCACTACTCCTCCTGCTGCACCAACAATGACAAACTCAAGGTGCTCTTTGGCTCAGACATCAGTGAGAACAACAAACCTTTTTACCTCAACACCAGCTGCCTTACATTTTGTCAGTTTGTTACAAACATCTTGGACATGTGGGCAGATCTGTTGTTACACTTCAACTCTTGTCACAAATATGACGATAAAGCCAAGTTAGTCTGCTCTCTGATGAAGAATCCCAAAGTCAAGGCAACATTTATGTTCCTAGATCAGGCCTTAAAGCCTCTGCAAAAATATCAAAGGGAAACACAAGGAGCTTCCTGGGCCAGTATGCCACTCATCCTAGAGGAAGCTAGTACCCTGCTTGGTACATACACCTCCCACTTCCTTCAGCCTCATGCTGCAACCTGCTACCTTGAGGAACACAACGCTAAAATCCTTCAAAATAAGAAGTTCCACCTCTCCAGTCTCGGTTTCAGCCTGGGCAAGAAACCATCTGAGGATGCAGACACACTGTCACAGCTAAGAGAAGAGGCACTTCTGTTCTACATCGCAGTTACAGATTGCATTTCAAAGGAGCTGCCTTTGAGTGACATGGTGCTAAAAAGCATTGCTCAGCTGCTAACTCCTCAGAAAGGCCTGAAAGTGACAAAGGCAGTGGTGGGGGAGCTTGGAACCAGTCTGGGCGTCTGCAGCTCCCCCAAGGAGGTCCAGCAACTCACAAGAGAGTTCCACGAGTACTGGCTGGCTGAGGACAAGAAAAGCAAAGACGAAGCACAGGTTTCCCTGGAGGAGCACTGGACAAGAGTACTTAAAGACATCAAGTCCAAGTCCATGTTCAGGAAGCTTGTGTTGACCCTGTTATCATTCCCGTGTCCTCCGCTTGATGCCCAGCACGTTGTCACTCAGGTATGTGTCTAAACGAGCTGCATCATCACATTCTAGTGTGAAGCTTTCATTAATCTTCTTCTTTGGTGTTTGTAAGGCCTTACAGAACGGGGACTCTGTGATCTTTGCTGAGAGTGAAGCTGAAACAGGAAGTGACTGTGACGTCACGCCTGACGGTTCTCCCAGTGACAGCTCCAAGGACTCCCAGACACACAGTGGAAGTATGACAAACATCTAATCATTCCATATCTGTCTGTCTGTCTGTCTGTCTGTCTGTCTGTCTACTGTATCTATCTATCGATAGATTGATTGTACTTTCTGCCGTACAAGTTGCATCAGTCCAAATATGTCTAATCAAGTGGAAAAAAAAGTCACATCTAATATGCGTCACCGCTGACCACCCGGGAACATGGGCCGGTGTTGTGCCAAAGATTGGCTGCCAAACGGCGGGAGAGTGCACAGCAGGACTTTAACAAGAATTTAACAAGATTAACACTTAAAAACAATTATTTGTTTGCTCGACATTATAGCAAAGGTGTGTCTCAGTTTAACTTGTCCTAAATAAATGCACTTTAATGGTCAAAACAACTTCATTTCACCTGGGTGCTTGTGTTCCTCCCCGCTCTGCCGCCGGAGCAGGAACGAAAGCTCCGTATGATGTGTGTGTGTGTGTGTGCGTGCGTGCGTGCGTGTGTGTGTATATATATATGTTTTTTTCACTTATTGCTGTGCTGCAGGGTACGGATCCCCCATGATAAAAGAGGGAATACTGTACAGTACACAGAATAAAACTATAATAATTTCTGCTCTCAGCCTCCGGCTGCCCTCTCTGCCATGTCCTCTTCTCCACTCTGCACAAAGATCAGCTGATCTCCGTTCAGAGTGGAAATCAGTTGATCAGCTGCAGGAGGAAGCTTCCCACACAGCTGTGGGCTGCACACAGGTGCTAATTAGTTTTAAATAATTTATTTTAAATAAAAATTTCATGCCATTTGTGTGGCTCATCCATCAATCGGCCAATTGTGTCATGTCCAATCTTACTTTGAAAAACCGCGATGGAGCGAGCCTGCGAAAAATTAACCACGAAGTAGCGAGGTACTACTGTACTTTGGTAGTTTTATTATGTGTACTTTGATAGTTTTTTCCTGTGTACTTTGGTAGTGTTATTCTGTGTACTTTGGTAGTGTTACTCTGTGTACTTTGGTAGTGTTATTCTGTGTACTTTGGTAGTGTTATTCTGTGTACATTAATAGTTTTATTCTGTGTACTTTGGTAGTGTTACTCTGTGTACTTTGGTAGTGTTATTCTGTGTACTTTGGTAGTGTTATTCTGTGTACTTTGGTAGTGTTATTCTGTGTAC